TATTTGAGAGTGTACGAAATCATTACATTGTCTAATTTGATCCTCAAAACAAATCTATGAAGTATTTTCTCTCTCTCTCTCTCTCTGTTTTTTGAGATAGGATCTTGCTATGTTGCCCAGGCTGGTCTCAAACTGCTGGGCTCAAGCGTTCCTTTGCCTCAGCCTTCCTGGTAGCTGGGATTACAAGCACAAATTACTATATCCACCCTATGAGGTATTTTCAATCCAATTTGACAGCTAAGGAAGGTGAAAATCAAAATTAAGTAATTTGTATAAATATATACAAGATCACACAGCTTGTAAATGGCAAAGTCAGGATTCAAATACAAGGATATTGATTATAAAATTTATTTTCTTTTACTTATTTTTTTTTTTTTAGAGATGGGGTCTTGCTTGGTCACCAAGGCTGGAGTAGAGTGGCGTGATCACAGCTCCCTGAAGCTTTGAACTTCTGGGCTCAAGTGATCCTCCTGCCTCAGCCTTCCAACTAGTTGGGAGTATAGGCACATGTCACCATGCCCAGCTAGTACTGTCATTTTAGCAATATTAATTCTTCTGATTCATAAGCATGGGATGTCTTTCTATTTGTTTGTATCCTCATCAATTTCCTTCATCAGTATTCTGTAGTTTTCCTCACAGAGGTCTTTTACCTCCTTAAATTTATTCCTATGTAATTTTTTGTAGCTATTATAAACAAGATTGCATTCTTGATTTCTTTTCAAGCTAGTTCACTGTTTGTGTATAGAGATACTAATTTTTGTATATTGATTTTATATCCTGCAATTTTACTGAATTTATTGATCAGTTGTAAAAGGCTTTTGGTAGAGTCTTTAGGTTTTTCTATATAAAGGTCACGTCATCCACAAATAGGGACAATTTGACTTCTTCCTTTTCAATTTGGATGCTTTTTATTCCTTTCTTTCTCTTGATGAACTGCTCTGCCTAAGACTTTCTGAATTTATTTAATTTAACTTAATTTCTTAAACAGTGTTTAATTTATATCAAGTTCCTCAGCGTAAGACAAAAATTAAAGACTAAAAAACAGAAGTTTTTAAATTTTAAAAAAATTCCAAATCTCTCAAATGAATTATGCTAGTTCTACCAGAATCCTTTGGGCCAAGTTCTACTGGAACAAGATATTATTTTCCAGGGTACTCAATGCCCGAGTGTCAGCTTTTAAAGGTCTGAAAAAAACTGCTTTAAAGAAAACCAGAGAAAATGGGATCAGTCAGCCAAGACAAGTGTGCCACAGCAGTAAACAGAGGTTTCTCTGTGATCCAACTAAAATAGCAGTGTTGTTAAACCCCCACACACATATAACTGGAATATTTGCATGGTCTTTCCTATTAAGCTTCAACCTAAATACTAAATTTATTATTTTAAAACCTGGTTTTTATTTTTAAAAAATAAAGAGAGTGAAAGCGGAAAAAACACAGGGTAGATAATGAAAGAAAGAATAAAGCAGAAGGGAAACAAGACCTATTGAGTTTATATTCCTATAACCATACTAGTGACTTTATTTATATAATCTCTTTTGATACAAAATATCACCTTATAAGGCGGGTGTTATCATTCTCATTCTACATATTAGAACACTTGAGGCCCAATGAGGTTAAGAAATTTTTCCAGTGTAATATAGCTGCTAAATGGGAATATCTGGATTCAATCTTATGTCCCTTTAACAAGAAGCTGTATTCTTCATGCTGAAAAAGCAAAGGACAAAAAAGAAAACAGAAGAAATACAACCTTCATGCTGAAAATGCAAAGGAAGAGAAAGAAAACAGAAGAAATACAATCATGAGTGTTGGTCTATACTAATAATTGTTAAGAGGCAATCCAACTATATAATTCTGGCAACTATAACTTGTGAGTATAAACAAAACAACACTCGTTTTTCCTATTTTAATCACTCCACAACAATCATTAGCACAGAAGACTTCTGTGACCAAATATGTGGCGGTTTCTCCCACAAACCAAGCAAGCAAGCAATTCTACAGCAGACATCAGCTGGGTGTTCTCCAATTCAATTCAATTCTGAAGCTATCTACTTGGAGATAGCCTCAGAAACCACAGGTTGAGGGCTTGGTCCCACAAGAGAGCCTCTTCTTTTCACCAGTCACAAGTCTAGACCTCCAGACTGTCTGACCAACTGGCTTCAAGTTGGGGTTCCTACAACCCCCTCTTTGGGTTCAATTAATTTGCTATAATGGCTCACATAACTCAGGGAAACACTTATTTGTGTTTATCAGTTTATTACAAAGGATATTTTAAAGGATTCAAATAAACAGTCAGATGACTCACTATCAGATTAGAGTCCTGCCTTGGTCAGGTGAAAGGAGGGCAGCAGAAGATCAGAGAGAGAGATTCTGTTTCCTGAGGCCTGCTTCTGAAGCCTAGAGTGTCCCAACATTACAACAAAAGACTATATCAAGGGTTATGAAAATTATGAGCCAGGAACCGTGGATGAAAATATATATGTGTGTGTGTGTGTGTGTGTGTGTGTGTGTGTATGTGTATATATATATAATATCACAATACTGGATTCATCTGAACCTCTGAAAAATTTATTCAATTGTATTCTATATGATTAAATGACACTGTTTTAAGACAATTCTTTTATTACTGTAATGCTTTTTTTTTTTTTTGGAGACAGAGTCTCACTTTATCGCCTAGGCTGGAGTGCAGTGGTGCGATCTCCGCTCACTGTAACCTCCACCTCCTGGGTTCAAGCGATTCTCATGCCTCAGCCTCCAGAGTAGCTGAAACTATAGGCGCACGCCACCTTGCCTGGCTAATTTTTGTATTTTTTGGTAGAGACAGGGTTTTGCCATATTGGCCAGGGGTCTCAAACTCCCGACCTCAAGTGATCCGCCCGCCTCAGCCTCCCAAAGTGCTAGGATTACAGGAGTGAGCCACCGTACTCAGTGATTACTATAATAAATCATTTATCTTGCGTTCTATTTACCCTTTTCACATTTTTAAGTGTATACCTTAGCTAGCACATAACGTACTGGGAAAAAATATATATCACGTATCTTGCAAACTAATATACATATAGTAGATGTTTGGTACATATTTATTGGCTGAACATTTTGTATACTCACTATGCCTTGAAATCTATAAGTACAGGAATAGTTAATGTGATTAGCCTTCAGTGACTTTGGAGTTCAGTCTGGAAAATGGTTCTGCTTTAATCAATCATGAGCAATATGCGCACTAGTTATGTGAGCTGATTCATCATTTCTCTAGTATCCTCCATTTTATTAAAATGACTTTATAATGACAAACAGGCAAAATAAGTCTTATTTATTCTGAAGATTTCATTGGGCAGAATATGCCAAGCAACTCCTCATTCATTCAACAAATATTTACTGAGAACTTAATCTATATTAGACACTGTGCTAAATGCTGGGGATATGGTGTTAAAGCCAAAAAGTTCTCTAACTTGAGGTATTATCAATATAGTAGAGAAAATAAACACATATAAATAATTATAGCACTGTCTGTAAGGTGTGGACATGTAATTTGTTCATCCAATAAATATTTATTGAGAGTCTCATGTACTAGATACTGTAATAAGCCCTGGGATACAGCAATGAACAAAACCACAGGGGTCCTCCCCTCATGACCTTACAATCCAAGATGGTCTCAAAGATTTCTCAAGTCTCCACGACAATGAATTCATGGTAAAAAAAAAAAAATCACAAGAATATGTGAGGAAACATGCAGCCATAAAAGAGAATCAGCAAAACAATAAGCACAGAATTAGACAAGCAAAAATGAAATATATTGAAATTAATGAATATGAAATATTGTGTTTTTAAAATATTTAAAGAAATATAAGATAGCAAGAAAAAAAATAACCAAGGAAGAAAAAATAACAAAAATGGCCAGGCAGATTTGAAAAAAAGAAACAATACCCCTAGAAATGAAAAAGAGAATAATTAAAAATACAAAAAAAGTGAATTTAGAAGAAAAAAAGAAATAAGGCTGAGTTAACAAAATAAAGAGAGATGGTAGGCATAAAGCAGAGCATTCCAGACAAAGACAATAATGTATGCAAATACATGAAACTATGAGCTGCATTCTGTGTTCAGGAATACAAAAGCAGTACCATACAAAAGTGCAAGTGTTTAGAAAGGCCATTAGAGAGGGAATCAAGGGGCAGATCGTGAAAGTCTTCATATGCTATACTTCTCAACTCTATATTTCCATGTGTGCTAATACTGATTATCTGATGCACTTATATGTTTTTAAGTACACATATGTGTATATAACATTTAGTATTTCCAGTATTGAAATAAACCCTTGGCTAAAAGAAAACAAAGAAATAGTTATTAAGCAATGTGACAGAAAACCCAAAAATTCTCTCATTACAAATACCTAGATGAGTTGTAAAAATTTAACAAATAATATTTTTAAATGTACAGCTGGGCTCCAAAAAAACTAAAAGTACTTCTTAAAAGGAAAAAGAAAAAAAAAGAGGCAATTGAAAACTAATATAGTAATAACTAAGTTATGACTGCCCTACAGAGGGTAAGAGATAAGGCAGTGAGTTGTCTGTCTCAGTACCATAGGAGGTTGGGTTTCAATGCTCACACAGGAATGAGAGATGAGGCCTTGGACCACACAAGGATAGGAAATGGATCTGAGATCATCTATGCAGAGCTGAGATGCTTGTGGGGCTACTTAGTAGCTAAATGAAATAGAAAAGTAAACACCCACTAGCACAAAGGAACAAGAAGACCATTGGTCTTTATTGACCTGGTCACAGGGTAAAAAGTAAAAAGAAAACAATAATTACTGCACTTGGAAATATAAAAATAAGGTATGTGAAACACAGATATCTAAAGTGGCCCCCAGATCCCCATACCCTGGTATCCACAGTCTTATGTAACTCCCTCCTTTTGTGTATAAGCAGAAACTGTGACTTGCCGCTAACCAAGACAATAAGGCAAGGTGACAAGAGACACACGATTATGTGTATGTGGTGACATTACCTAAGACTGTAGCACCCATCTTGCTGAAGTCTCTCATTCCCTTGCTGGCTTTGAAGAAACAAGCTGCTATGTTGTGGTCTGCCTATTTTGGTAGTCCCATATTTGAAGGGCAGCTTCCAGGAGCTAAGGGCAGCTTCCATCCAAAAGCCAACAAGAAACTGAAGCCTGTCAGTCCTATAACCACAGGAAACTGAATTCTGCTAATGGATTCTTCCATAGTTAAGCTTCAGATGAGACCACAGCCCCAGCTAACATCTTGACCGCAGCCCTGTGAAATCATAAACAAAGGACTCAGCTAAACTGGATCCAGACTCCTAACCCATAGAAACTGTGAGATTATAAATGTGTGTATTCCCATATATAAATATATGGTAATTTAATTACTGAAAGTAAGACACTGGGGAAAAAATATGCCAGGCAAAAGAAACAGAATAGATTTTAAGGAATACATGCAATATATAGCTTAAATTTCAGATCATGTTTTAAATTAATGCCATGTTTTGTCTAGTATCTTAAAAAAGCAAATCATTTATTTATTGATCATACACAACAGCTTTGTACCAGTTTCACAGCTGGTAGAGCAATTTAGGAAGCTAGCTGTACAGCATGCTTACCATACATAAACCTAAAAAGACTCTCCTAACAGAGGGCAATAATAAGCAAAGCAGGCTATAATTCCAGCACTTTGGGAGGCTGAGGTGGGTGGATCACTTGAATCCAGGAGCTGCCAAGACCAGCCTGTGCAACACGGTAAAACCCCATCTCTACAAAAAAATACAAAAACTAGCCAGGTGTGGTGGCATGTACCTGTAGTCCCAGCTACTCGGAGGCTGAGGCAGGAAGATGGCTTGGGTCTGGGAGGTCAAGGCTGCAGTGAGCTAAGATCATGCAACTGCACTCCAGCCTGGACAACAGAGTGAGTCCCTGTCTCAAAAAAAAAAAAAAAAAAAAAAAAAAAAAAAAGTTACCTGTAGTAATTAACATCCACAGACTCCAAAACAGCTTCAATTAGTTATGGTAATGCCTAGACATATAGGAGAAGTTTTATGCAATTTATGCACATGCATGGGCATCACAAAAACTCATATATACTCTTCTGAATGGTAGCACTTTTCAAAGTAAGATTTGAAATACAAAATCAATTTGTATTAGTTTCCTCATTTGACCTTTAAAACAATCCTATTACATAAGCAGGACAAATATCTTATAAAAATATTTTATAACAATGTCTTTTCTGAATGTTTTAAATATATATACATATTTGAAAAACTATATGCTTTTAAAAATGATAGCTACCAATTATTATGATTTACTTTAGGAAGATCTTTTCTTCATCCATCTAATGTATGGTATATAAATTTACTTCATGCAGTCTCTCTTTGAGTTCTCCTTTGCTTTCTTATCACCTACTCTTACAACCTTTACCCCCCTTAAAACCAATCTATCTTTAGTCTCCCAATCTCTGACTGAAAATATTTTTTAGAAAGTTAAAGATAAAAAGCCTTATCTGACATATACATATATTTGGAGACAGGGTCTTGCTCTGTTACCCAAGCTGGAATGCAGTGACATGATCATGGCTCACTGCAGCCTCAAACTCCCAAGCGACATTCCTACCTCAGCCTACCGAGTAGCTAGGACTAGAGGCATGCACCCAGCTAATTTTTGTATTTTTTGTAGAGACAGGGTTTCACTATGTTGCCCAGGCAGGATTTATACCTATTTTTGTCATCACTTATTTTGATCATTCTTAAACTTTATATATTGTTCTTGACAGTAAGTTCTTATACTTAAAAACCCATGATGGTATGGCTCACGCCTGTAATCCCAGGACTTTGGGAGGCCAAGGTGGGAGGATTGCTTGAGTTCAGGAGTTCGAAACCAGCCTGGGCAACATGGCAAAACCCCGTCTCTACAAAAAATACAAAAATTAGACAGGTGTGGCACATGCCTGTAATTCCAGCTACTTGGGAGGCTGAGGCACAAGAATTGCTTGAACCAAGGAGGCGGAGGTTGCAGTGAGCCAAGATGGCACCACTGCACTCCAGCCTGGGCCACATAGGCTCTGTCTCAAAAACAATAACAGCAAAACCCCCACAGTACCTTGAGTACCTAGGCCTGCCTTGTATGATTTCTCTCCTTTAAAATTCCATTCTCATTCTTCATTAATCCTAGTCCCCCACTATGATCAAAATCCTCCTTTGCATCCATTTGTTTCATGAAAACATTTCCAATTTAACAACATCTTCCTTTTTGATCATATAACTGTAGCATGCTAATATATCTCCCAAGCGTTATACTGTCAATGGTATTCGTACCTGACTTGTTCTGAACTGAGTATAAAAGTTTACTCCCCTGGCTGAAAACACTCCAAACACTTCCAACTGCAAATAAAATAAAAGCCAATCTCTTTACCATGGTCTACAAGGCTAACACAATCAACCCCTGCCTACCTCTTCTAATTACTCTCCTTTTTGCCGATCATTCCCAAAACACTAATCTTCCCAATGTTCCTAGACCAAACCAAGTCCATTCCAGCCACAGGGCCATTTGCAGTACTGTCTGGAACACCATTACCCCAGATTACCACATATGCCATCTCATTCTTCAGGACTTATACCAGATGCCACCAATTCAGAGACGCCTTCCTTAACTACCCTATCTAAAGAAGTCCTCTAGCCATTCTCTATCATATTACCTAGTTTTATTTACAGCATTTATCACAATTAGCAACCACTTATATACTTAACCGTTTATTTGTCATCTTCTCTCAATAGAATGCATGTTCACAACAACACTTTCTTATCTGCTTTCCTCACTGCCATTATCAACAAGTACCTAGAACAGTGCTATGATAATCACGTTTTCTGGTTTCTGTATTTCATGCTTTGGTATATGGGGCCTTGCTTACTCTGGTGGAATCGCTCCTCCCAGAGCTAGCCAGGTAGCAAAGGAGTGCACCTTCCATATGCATACCAAACAATCCAGAGCCCATAGTCCCAACTACCTCATTTATCAGACTCTTACACTCTAGGCCACTATTCCCCTACCCAAATCATCCCAGGGCCACGTACCATACAACTAGTGGCAGCCCCTACGTCCCAGCGTCCACTGAAATTACTCAAAACTAGCCAAGCCTAAGCCTACTTATAATGCCTTGCCTGTTCCTTCCTGCAGAAACCACAATAAAGCTGTATGACCATATTTCCCCCTACTTCCTCTGCCCCCCGACTGACCCTGGTGCTTTCTTAAGTGGCCCTACATGGTGTGTTATTCCTCCTGTTTCTAGGAAACTGAGTATAAAACTTCTTCCTGGGCAAGGGCGGGGACAGTATTAGGACAAATACCTAATACATGTGGGGCTTAAAACCTAGAAGATGGGTTGATGGGTGCAGCAAACCAGCATGGCATATGCACACCAATGTAATAAACCTGCACACTCTCCACATGTATCCCCGAACTTAAAGTAAAATTTAAAAAAAAAACAAACTTCTTCCTTCATGACAGTCATTTCTGTGTCTCTGTGTCTAACTATACCTGATTAAAACAAATCCCAGGTACCCTTAAAATAAGTGCCTAGCATATAGTACATGCAAGTAACACATAAGAATGCAGAAAGGTTTTAAGTAAAGAATAAAAAACAGTAATATATAAATACTTCAAATCAAAGGAACTTTAAAACAAAAAGCATTAGAAGAAGGATCTGACTGGGCTTCACGGCTCACACTTACAATCCTAGCACTTTGGGAGGCCAAGGCAGGTGGATTGATTGCTTGAGCCCAGGAGTTTGAGAGAGCCTGGGCAACATGGCAAAACCCCATCTGTACTAAAAATACAAAAAAGTAGCTGGGCATGGTGGCATGTGCCTGTAGTCCCAGCTATCCCAGAGGCTGAGGTGGGAGGATCAGCTAAGCCCAGGAAGTCAAGGCTGCAGTGAACTGTGATTGTGCCATTGCCCCCCAGCCTGGACAACAGAGTGAGACCCTGTCTCAAAAAAAATTAAAAGAGAAAAACTAAAAATAAGAATCCAGTTCACCAGGAAGACATCATAATCCTAAACATATTTGCACCAAATTACATAGCCTCAAAATACTTAAAGCAAAAACTAACAGAATAATAGTGAAGAAAATAAACAAATCCACCAACATGGTAGGAGATTTTAATACACCTATCTTAATGTTTAATAGATGAAGCAACCTTCACATGCTGCCCCTGTACAAATCAGTAGAGTTACAAAAGACTTTTGTTGTGGGACGTCAGGGACCCCAAATGGAGGGACTGGCTGGAGTCACAGCAGAGGAACATAAATTGTGAAGATTTCATGGACATTTATCACTTCCCTAATAATACTCTTATAATTTCTTACACCTGTCTTTACTTCAGTCTCTGAACATGAACTGTGAAGATTTCATGGACATTTATCAGTTCCCAAATAATACTCTTACAATTACTTACGCCCATCTTACTTTAATCTCTTAATCCTGTTATCTTCGTAAGCTGAGGATGTATGTCACCTCAGGACCACTATTGTACAAATTGATTATAAAACATGTTTGTTTGAACAATATGAAATCAGCGCACCTTGAAAAAGAAGAGAATAACAGCGATTTTAGGGAACAAGGGAAGACAACCATAAGGTCTGACTGCCTGTGGGGTTGGGCAGAAAAGAGCCATATTTTTCTTCTTGCAGAGAGCCTACAAACGGACATGCAAGTAGGACAGATATCCCTAAATTCTCTTCCCAGCAAGGAATATAATATTAAGACCCTAGGAAAAGAATTGCATTCCTGGGGAGAGGTCTATAAACGGCCGCTCTGGGAGTGTCTGTCCTATACAGTTGAGATAAGGACTGAGATACGCCCTGGTCTCAGGCTTACTGGGATTGGGAAACCCCAGCCCTGGTAAATTTGAGGTCAGACCAGTTCTCTGCTCTCGAACCCTGTTTTCTGTTAAGACATTTATCAAGACAATACGTGCACCGCTGAACACAGACCCTTATCAGGAGTTTCTGATTCTGCTCTGGTCCTGTTTCCTTAGAAGCATGTGATCTTTGCTCTGCCTTTCGCCCTTTGAAGCATGTGATCTTTATGATCTACCCCCTATACATACACCCCCTCCCCTTTTGAAATTCCTAATAAAAACTTGCTGGTTTTGCAGCTCAGGTGGGCATCACAGACCTACCAATATGTGATGTCACCCCCGGCGGCCCAGCTGTAAAATTCCTCTCTTTGTACTCTTTCTC